TATATATTATTATATATATTATTATATATTATTATTAATTATATATATAAATGAAAAATTGAATGTCATTCGTGTGACAGAAAACTGTATAACAATGAGAAGTATCTGTGAAATATTTAGGTGAAAAATCACTGGAATTGTTGTACCTAAACAAGATAGAATCACCAAAGAAACGTTTAGGCTTGTAAATAGTGAAACGAGCATCCGACAATTATTAAACTTAATCCTAATAAATAAAACATAATCGGAGGATCTTGTATTTGCGATTCTCTCTTTACGGAGGCTTTTGTTTAACTATTTTGAACTGTGTATAGTACGGCTCAATATTATACGCACATCCTTCGTTCAAAAGTATCTTATTAATTTTTATTTAATCGATATTTATTCATACACTGATTCTCTGCTCAGATTAGCGCCTAATAAATTGTTTACACTGACAGAGTTCATTTCGACAACGTCTTTGCAGCCAGTTTATTACTTGCGTTTAGAAAATTCCTTCATATGTCCTGCTTTACAACCATTCGTCCTCCAAAACTTCCAAAAAGTAAAATCCAGCGAATGGAACCAATTAGAAAAGTTATACGATAGAAAGAGCGTTAACTATTTTTAGGAGGAGCCATTTGTAAGAACAATAATATGTGGAATATTTATACTTACCGTTCCAAACCGAGGGAAAGTGTAAAAATCTCTGCGTCTCGAATAATTAAGAGCGGTACTATACACGTTATTCTAATTGCTTAAGCTTAATGAAAGTCGTTAAATCTGTGATTTCAGTTGAATTTAATAAATAAACATATTGGAGAAATATCGGAACGTTTCGAAACGCAACATTAGGCTCCGCCTCCTGACTACCGCCGCAGCGTCTCACTCCCCGCGTTGCTTCCATCAGACTACCACCGCAGCGCTTCGCTGCCCGCGTTGCTTCCATCGGAGGCGGAGCCCAATGTTGCGTCCCGAAGCGTTGCGAGCCGTGGTCTAAGCTATTCGGAAGAGTTAAATATCGATGGTGTGAAGAGAATTCAGTGAACATTGGTGTGTTCCACTAATTAAACACTTACGGTGCACGTTCGGTGAGCATAAACAGTTAAACAATTAAGGAGGTGTTCAAGTGAGTTTTTGCGGTGTACAGCTCGGCATGCGTGACGCAGAACGTGGAAACACAGTCTTTTTGCAGAAACTGAAAGGATGACACTTACCAGATAGGTACAGGTCCAACGCTATGAGTGATACAAAACGACATATGAAATACAGTTGCATTAAAAACAACTAAAACATTATTTCGACTAACGAGATGAATTTCATGAATTGCTTGAAGGGGTTACATACAGTTTCACAGGAGAAAAGTTCGAGTTCACAGATACAAGCTACGCTCGACGTTTCTTCGCTGAAAATGTTATTGAAAAATTCTGAAAAGTGACGGTCGTACAACTACAACAAGCATCATCGTACAACAGTATTATTTCCCGTAATTACTACTGATACAGCAATTCTTTATTTATCATGAGATGTCTTCGTAATTATCGTAATTCTGTTTTTGATATGCGAAACAAATTTGCAAAACACAATATGACAACTTTGTTGTTATATTTTTTTCTCCAATTTCACTTTTAACTGCAATGTGGCGAAATGATCTCGTTCCATTGTTTCTCCTTCATGATCACGATTTTTAGTTTTTACTTCACACATCAGAGTAAATTTGATAGTTATTGAAATTCGGAATTCATTATTAATTTATATCGAGAGATTATATATATATATAACGATTGCTGATTTCAAACTATGCACACTTTTTTTTTCATGCCGATATTAAAAATTCAAGCTATAAAGGGTTACTGATAAAACCGCATTTTTTTAGTTCATGTAACTATCCAGTCTCTTGTTTTGATCCAAATCAATATTGACGAAGATGAATTGCGCTGTTTTCATCAATTTTCCAAGTTTTTCAATTAAACTTTCGGAAGTTACGGTTACAAGTATATACTTGTTTATGATAACAAAAGCAGAATATAATTTTGTACGTTGTTGAAATAACATATTTGTTTCTAACAACGAAAGTAGGATATAATTTTGTAGGTTCTTAAAATTACATATTTTTTTCTAAGAATAGAAGTAGAATATAATCTAGTATGTTAAAAAACTTTGTGATATTTGTAACATTCTTTTGCACGTAACCCCTTAAGGACTATTGTTACCAAACTAGATAAGTAATTCGTCTGAAGCATTTCGACCTACAAGTAGGTTCACTTTGTCAAGCTTTAGATCACATTTATGTAACCAAAACAAACAATGAAATTGCAAATAATACCAAAATTGTCTGAACCAGTGATGAGCAACAAGCCACGCCCCATCCACTGTTTATCTGCGGCTAGCCAAATGGAGAAAATTGCTTATCACTGGCCTGGACTGTTGAAAAGCGTGTGAAACATTTTTTAAAATGTCTGTTGATAAGTATATATATACATCTTTCTAAGCAATATGAATCTAATTAGAAACTGTTACTCCGATATCTCTGTGAATTAATACGAAGACACATCGTCGGTTCACAATTAAGTCATTTAATCGTTAAATGAACATTATTATGCACTTTAATGCGTAAAAAACAAATGGAACGCTACGACGAATAAATATAGTGTCCTAAATTTGTTCTAAGACCTTGAAGGAAGCGATTCCTGGGACGATTTAAAGTCATTTTATAATTCGCGAAAATGTTCTCCGCGGTTTTATTAACGGGTTATTAACGAAAAAAAAAGACGCTGACCATCTTTTCCGAACTTTGGACCGTCCCTTTCTTTTGTTCTTTCTGCCTCTCTCGACTCTCTTTCCGTTCCGTTCAGCGTTCTCTTTCACGTTCGAAGCTTTTAACGCTTCACTAATTCCAATCGTGAAGACAAAATCTGGAGAGTTATCGCGAACTTTTTTTGTACAGTTATCGCGAGAATATTGTAACTCGTTAACGAAGCCACGGAGAGCGTTTCCGCCGAGGAAAACGTGACTTCAAATCACCCGAAGAACCGCGTCTTTCAAGTGCTCGCGCAACATTCTTGGAAGTCGCCCTGTGTACCGAATAAAACTGGCACAGAGAGACATATGCAAATGTCAAGGTTGGTCCGAGATAATATATACGTTGACAAATGAAAGTCGAAATACACGTAAAGTCGTCAAAGTGAGTCTATGTACAAAACAGTTGCATGTAAAGATTAGACCTCCTCTACCTAGAAGAAGAAGAAAGAGAGAAAAAAAAGGAGTATCGTAGGCGGAAGAAACACACGTAAAAGAAGTCATCGAGACAAAGCACACATGCGTAAGAATGTGAAAAATACCTTTATTGCAATAAACATTCAATATAGCAGTACCGAGAAACGAAATAGAGATAATTCTCGTCACTTTCGGAACGTAGAAGAGCCTGTACAAGATTCAACGTCTTAACGGATGCACGAGGCAAATTTGATCAATGGTGCCACGTTCGAACGTTGTCTCGTTGCGATACCGACGCGACACGCTCTATCGTTCTCGAGATCGCGCGTCACCATTGTCCCTCGTCCGTAACGAATGCAATACAACTCGAGGAAATTTTGCATCGACGCGGTACGGTTGTCCGCGCGAGGTGATCGTGTTCCGTTCAAGCCCGCAAGAAAAGGAAAACCTCCGATCGATCGACATGCGCACTTTTTACGCGACAAGTACCGACACATAGGTGAGAACATTAAAACACGTCAGGTATGCACGAACGAACCTTCGTTGACTTTGCCGGGAGCTGGTTATCACTACCCCAGCTTTCGGGCTCTGCGAGTTACCGGGCTGCGACGACATCTCCGTCTCTTGAATCGATCGTCTCGGTGGCCAGCAATTCTGAAGCGGAAAAGGTACGATGTCTTTCTTTATGCAAGTAGGAAGTTATCGTTGCTGGAGTACGCCATTTTGAACGCCCCTACGCGGGTAACAACGTACGGAACATCTTTCTTCGCTTCGATAAACTTATTCGTGGAGCTAAAATCAGACTCCGGATTTTATGCATTTGGGGTGAAAATGTGTAGGTCGAATGCAAAACGAGGTTAAACCTTTCCTTGGAGGTTTCTGAGCCATTTCGAAGGGTATCATTCGACATGTTTCATATACACGAAGAGCTTAAAAATGCACCTTATGAAGCGACAGTGCCAGACGATGCTTTGAATTCCAAAGAAACCAAACCGAAATAAAAATCGTCGCCGTTCGAGTCACCGCGTCAAGGCAAGTGGTGACTCGGGAGTCATCTCATTGAGTTGTCGCATCAAATCCATTGGTGACTGAGAGTCGTCGCTCGAGTGCAAAGGCTTAATCTGATAGAAAGCAATTTTGGTTTACATACGCTGCTGGTGATCGTGGAAATAGAGCTGCTCCTTCCAGTATCCTCTGGAGCGGACCAAATCGACGCTCTGGGTAGATAATAATTAGGATAGGAAGGTCTGTATGGTGCTCTTTCCGGGGACTGAGGCCGTGTTCTCGAGCCGATAGTCTCGCATTTGGGTGGATGTGGTTTTTCTTTTACCGCCTTGCTCGTGTCTGCTTCTCTATCGGCGCGTTTTCCTAGCGGAGTCGGAGGTGTTTTCACAGGGGTCACCTCCTTCACTGATTTGGGAGTCTTGGGTTCCTCTTCGTACGTGAATTGCACATCTAAAAGTGAAATCGTAAGTATTTCAAATGCACTGTATTTCAGTTGCATTGTATTTCAATTTCATTGTATTTCAGTTGCATTGTATTTCAGTTGCATTGTATTTCAGTTGCATTGTATTTCAGTTGCATTGTATTTCAATTTCATTGTATTTCAATCTCATCGTATTTCAGTTGCATTGTATTTCAATTACATTGTATTTCAGTTGCATTGTATTTCAATTACATTGTATTTCAGTTGTATTGTATTTCAATTGCATTGTATTTCAATTGCATTGTATTTCAATTTCATCGTATTTCAGTTGCATTGTATTTCAATTACATTGTATTTCAGTTGCATTGTATTTCAATTGCATTGTATTTCAATTGCATTGTATTTCAATTGCATTGTATTTAAATTTCATTGTATTTCAATTACATTGTATTTTACATTAAACTTTAATTACATACTCGCAATTAAAATAATCAGTAATTGGATTGACTGAAAGGTTTGAATCATGTAATTGAATTGCAACACGGTTAAATTACTATGTAATCGAAATACAGTGTCATTAAATTGCGAAATTGAATTACAATATATTTGAATTAGCACTCTGCATGTAACAATAGTTGCATCAACGAAGATCGTCACTCAACGCATCAATAACTAGGGATATCGATAGGCGTGACTAATATTCTTTAATAATTAAAATTATTGTATTATTGCAATAATAATTGTGATGCGACATTGGCATATGCCAAGCGCGTGTCTTGAATAATAAAAAGAATCAGACGAAATTTCTAACGAAACAATATTTCAGACATACGTATAATATAGTATTGATATACCGTCTTTCAACACTTCCGTTGCAACGGGCGTATCAGTCTCTTCGGAAGCACCGCGAGAATATGTTCCTCCATCTTGAGGACTTGATCCTGAACCTGAACCTGATCCAGTTGAGCCAACCAATGTAACGGAGCTCAAGTTGCTTGGCGACGATGGAGCACTTATTACAGTATTATCTGAAACCACGAGAATTGGTGGAATTTGTAACAGACGCCGAGCACATGTGTAAAGTAAAAATTGTAATTACGCAATTCCAATTAAACAAATTTGTATACCGGTTCAATGTTGTCGACTCTCCTAAATATGATAGGATACGTTTTTAAAAACATATAAACATATCTGGACTTTTAGACAATTTAATTTAATTTTGTGTCAAATTATTTTTGAGAATAATGAGCAATGAGTAATTAGAAAATCTAATTACGGTAAATTCACCTCAATTGTCCCTCAGCTTTTAAACAAAAATGGGCAATTTGGGAAGAGGAGATACTATTATTCGATACTATTATTATAGTTGTTGATAATCGTGTCTTCTCTTCCCAAATTGTCCACTTTTGTTTACAAGCTGAGGGACAATTGGAGAGAATGTACTGTACTAGTAAGATTAATACAAATTTTGTTGTCGCAAATAGCTATTCATAATCGTGTCTTCTCTTCCCAAATTGTCCACTTTTGTTAACAAGCTGAGGGACAATTGGAGAGAATTTACTGTACTAGTAAGGAGAGTACAAATTTTGTTGTCGCAAACTCAAAGTACAGTGGAAACTGTTGTATTTTAATTAATAAAACATGACAATTTTCTGACGAAGGATATCCTTTACTATATATATCTACATGTAAACTCCAAATTCCTTCGATAACGATTAATTAAGAAAGGGAAAATAGTCCAGAATTGCCACCTGCTCAAAGACTAACATACTTTAGTATCAGTTTTATGAAGCTGGAGAGTTAAATATTGTTCAATTATTTAATTCATAAAGTATAAATGAAAGCATTCTTACCTGTAAGTGTCTCAGAACTCGACGAAACATTAATTACTTTTGGTATGGTCAGATGACAACCATCATTTTCTATCTTCTTTTGCTCTTTCTTTTCTTCAATCTTTTCTGCTGCCCTCTCATCCTTCTTATCTTCCTTCTTGTCTTGATTTCCTTGACTGTTATCCTTGTGTGGTACGACTGGAGATTGGGTCTCCACGGATACAGTTGACGATTGTATAGTTGGGCTCCTTTTTATGATCGACGGGGCTTCTGTGATCACACGTGGCTTATCTTCGTCTATTAAATAAGTAATTAATCGAATAGTAACAATAGCAATACCATTTTTCTTTTTATTAGAATTCGATAAACTAATTAAAAAGGTAATAGCTTTTAATTTTTTCTTTTCAAAAATGTTAAGTTGCTAGTAACATCGAAAATGCTCGAAGTAATAAAACAACCACTTTAATGGATCAACGATTATTAAAATAATTATTATATTATGAATATGTATATGTATGTTACTATAGAAGGGACTACTCTGTATTTGTTCATATACAAAAACTTTGTACACGTTCGTGATTTTAATAAACGCTAGAATTTCAGGAGTGTCTTATAGTTTTGTAAATAATACAGATAAACATAATAAAGGCTTACCCTTCTTAAATTTCCAGTAGCCTCTTGGAGTTATTGCATAGCCTGCAGAGAAGTCACAGGAACTGCGACTCTTTATTTCACTTATTTCAGATCCGTATCCTAAACAAGCAAAATATTTAAACGAGATTATCATTTTGAATAAATATGTGATGTACGATAATAAGGGAATGGACGTATCTAGCTCATAAGTCTTAAATATTTCTTACGACTTTCTGATTTTGCGACTTTCTATTTGTTTAAGATGGAAACACATCAAGATGAAAATCATAATGAATATGAGAAACTTGTTAAAATGAAATTTGAAATCAC